TGCTCGGCGAGGAGCCTGCTTCTCCCTCTGACCCTCTCCCCTCTCATGTACTCTCTCTCTCTCATTCTCGCTCTCTCAAATAAATAAATCTTTAAAAAATAAAAAATAAAAAATAAAAAAATAAAAATTGGGTATTAGTTTAGAACCAGGATTTTAATTTTTCAAAGAAATTGAATTTTTTATAAAGCAATATACATTTATAGTTTTAAAATTCAAATACAAAAAGGTTAAAACAAATGCAAAGTAAAAGATACTCTCCTCTCCTCCGAGGCAGGCAATCCCTATTAAAAACTCTCATGCAGGGGCGCCTGGGTGGCTCAGATGGTTAAGCGTCTGCCTTCGGCTCAGGTCATGATCCCGGGGGGTTCTGGGATCGAGCCCCGCATCGGGAAGCCTGCTTCTCCCTCCCCCACTCCCCCTGCTTGTGTTCCCTCTCTCGCTGTGTCTCTCTCTGTCAAATAAAATCTGGTAGGCTCTCAATACAGCAGAGCAAGAAAAACTAGGAGTGTTTGCAGAGGTCATCTCCTGCAACTTTGCCCGTGCAACCTCAGGCAAAAAGACCAACAAAACAATGGACTTCATTAAGGACTGGATTGGAAATGGGATAGCATACACTATCTTGCCCTTAACAAAAACATGGCCTTTCAAACCAAGTACTGTGTACAGTTCTAAACTCTAGTTCAAGGCAGTCGGGTACAACGATTAACAGATGTGTTTAAATCCAACTTTCCGCCCCTTACCATATCACAGTTCCTTCACTTGTAAAATGGGAGGAGGAATATCTACCTAACTTGTTCAACAATTAAATGAAAAACATGTAATTTTTTTAGCATAGTACCTAACACATAAGACTGTTCCCCAAAACGGTAGTTATCATTACTACTATAAAGCAAGAAGTAATCTCCCAGAGAAAGGCCATTACAGTATCAAGAGACATTCTTAAACTTTGATATGCATTAAAATCACCTCAAGGGCTTGTTGAAAATGCAGATTCCTAGGACCCATTCCTCCCAGGGATTAATTCTGCAAGTCTAAAGTAGAACGTGGGGGGGAGAAAAAATTAAACATAAAAATAAAACATAAAATAGAATGTGGCCATTCTCTTGCCCAAACATCAAGAATTACTGAAGTAAGAGAATCAAGCCACTGCCCTATAAAAAAAAAAAAAAAAAGGCTAAAAACTAGGATTCTTCCATACAAAGAACTGATCTAAAACAGTATGTTCGGGGGACCTGGGTGGTTCAGTTGGTTAAGCGACTGCCTTCGGCTCAGGTCATGATCCTGGAGTCCTGGGATCGAGTCCCACATCGGGCTCCCTACTCAGCAGGGAGTCTGCTTCTCCCTCTGACCCTCTTCCCTCTCATGTTCTCTCTCTCTCATTCTCTCTCTCAAATAAAATCTTTAAAATAAAATAAAATAAAATAAAACAGTATGTTCAGCAATTAACAGTATGTTCAGCACCTGTTCAGCAAGTTCATTCATTCAACTAACATTGAGTTCCTACTATGCAGTGAAAAGAACAGACAAGGTCCCCATTTTCTGAGTTTAATTTCTAGTGTAGGAAACAGAATATAAAAAATAAGGAAATTCCAGATAGTACAAAACGTTATGAAGAAAATAAGGGAATGGAGAGATAATTAGGGAGCAATCTCCTCAAAGATACAATATCTGAACTGAGACCTGAATGACATGATGAAATCAGCCACAGCAAGATCTGGGAGAATATTGAAGCCACGAGGTACGGCGATCGTAAATGCCCTGAGGCAGGAACAAGCCTGGCAAGTTCCAGGGACAGTGCCAGCAGGGCTGGAAAACAGGAAGAAACTGACGTGGCCAGGCTCTGGGGTACTAATCTAGGCAGAGGGATATATGGTGAGTTAAGGGAAGGAGGCAGGGCCAAAACATGTAGTTTGGATTTTATTCTGAACATGATGGAAGGCTTTCCAAAAAAAGGGTAACATAATCTGATTTACACTTTAAAGGATCTTTTACCATGTTGTGATTTGGTAAGAGGAATGCACCATAAAAAGCCAAAGGGGAGGCCAGGAGACCAGGATGTTACTACAATAGGCCAGGTAAGAGATAGTGAGAGTTGGCAAAGGTAGAATCAGTAGCAATGGGAAGTGGTGGCCAAATTAAGAATACATATTTAAACACTATACTTAAAGGCAAATCAGAGAAAAAGTACTAAGTCACAAAATAAGTAGAAAGCATCTGGAACTAATTACCCAAGAGATAGGGGATAAAAATTGAGATTTAAAGGTTTTACGGACGTTTATGACTAAGGGATGTGAATGGGTTGTTAGCATATTTAGGATACTTCCTAATAAGTATTTATCCTCTGAAGCTGAGGTGAAGGGGACATTTCCTTCTCTTTTGGCACCACCAAGAAGGCAATGGGCTAAACGGACATATATCCAACACAAGTGTGATTCATAAAGTAAAATCTTTGGGGATCTCACCGACAGAGGCCGAGCCAGGTGGTCAGCATTCGGAGCATAGTGTAGCTATCAAACAGAACTAAAGCTTTACCTGAATCGAATCACTAGATCAGCAAAACCCTTTTAAACGTTCTATCATCAGCTTAGGCCATTCTGTCCCTGCTCTCCCAAGAGTTAAACAAGAAAACCTTATAGTGACACACAATGCATATTAACTTCTTAATGCTATCACAGAAGTCTGGGAGGAAATCTTTTAAAATCATGATTTTAGAGACCCCTGGGTGGCTCAGTCGGTTAAGCATCTGCTTCGGCTCTGATCATGATCCCAGAGATCAGTCCTGCATCAGGCTCCTTGCTCCACGGGGAGCCTGCTTCTCCTTCTGCCTCTGCCTCTCCCCTCTGCTCGGTCTCTCTCTCTCAAATAAATAAAATCTTAAAAAAAAAAAATAAACCATAATTTTAATCATTATGGTTTGGCAAACATACAGTGAATATACCCTAATTTAAGGTCCAAAAGTCCCTCTCCATGAAAATATAAATTTTGTTACTCCAAAGTACTACCACGTAGAAGAGCAGGTTACAGAAAAAGCATATGCAGTATACCATTTTTGTGTAAAATGTATAACTGCAAAAAAGAAGTCTGGAAGGATATAAATCACTACCAACATTTTGATCATTTCTGGATGGCAGGATTATTGACTTATTTTCTTCTTTTTTCCTTATCAATTGTAATAATTCTCCAATTATAAATTATTTCATATAAGCCAGAACATTCAATTCAGGTTACATAAAAGGTAAAAAAAAAAAATTTTTTTTTCAAGGAAACATAATTTCATTTATCTAAATCAGCAGGATTCCAACTGTGGTATTAAGAAAAAAGACCTCAATTGTACATACAGGAGAAAGAAATTTGTTAAGAGGTCCATGATCTACCACACAAGGAAACACCCTTCAAGGAAGTGGTCTAAATGCCTAAGTACTCTTCCTGAATTTCATAAGGGGCAATCAATTAGCACATACTTTTGTTGTTCTTTCTTGCCATTTACCAAAGAAACACCTCAATCAGTTCTCTGGGGACAAAAAAAAGGGGAGGGTTTTTTTAAACACCAAGTTAGGGCAAAAAGGGGGTTTGGTCCTCTGGTCTCCTTTGTGCTGTCCAGGGGGCGCGGAAGGTAGCAGGGCTTGAAGCAAGCTACACTAGAGGAATCTGCGTGGCCGATCACCTGAAGTGGAAGGGAACGCAAGCTTTCTGCAACCTCCACTGAACTGGGCCATGAGACCGCCTCCTAAGGGTCTCAAGGCTAAAACACCATCCAAGTTATTGTGTATGTAGAGCTGCCAACGATTTCTGATAGTAACACAAAAACTGGAAGGTCTCTTCAACAAACACAGGTATTAAGTGCGTGAGGCTCATCCGACTCTCGAAGCAAAACCAAGACACCTTTTCTTATTAAGGCCGTTATCTTCGATTCTGCAAACTAGGAAAACTCAAAACATCCTATTGACTTTCTACAGCTAACAAATATCATCTTGGCTAAAATCCGAACACACACAGAAGCAGCCACTTTGGAAAACTTTGGCTTTAAACAGCAACACTGGACTTCAAGTGCTCCGGTAACCAGCTTATCGCACATTATATCTTTATAAAGGGTGCTACCTCTTTACTGTCAGCTCTGGTTCCACTTACTGAACAAACATAAAAAGGGAATACTTTCAAATCGCACAATAAGGACTAAAAAAGCTCCCGCTTTCTGGATGGCAGCTTTCCTCTTTCATCAATCACAACAAAGGACGCATCCTAATGACTTCATCAAACCTAGAGAAACGGAGGTAAATGATACAGTGTGGATTTCAGGATTTGTGGGGTTTTCCTTCCCGCTACGACTCTCTTCTTTTTACTCCATTATACGCCTCCACCCGAGCTGACTGCCTTGCCCTAAAAATAAAACCACCCGTGGCTGCCGTCTACTTTCCTAAGCCCCGACCCCGGTTTCCTGCAGAGAAAGCCAAATTGCAGGCTCTCTGCCTCGCTCTTCGCCGGGGGACAAGGGCTCGGCAGCAGCCGGCTTTTCCCAGTGAAGAGTCACCAGCCCGGCCGGAGAACCACCGAGCCCGAGAAGCCAGCTCCGCTCTGCCGCAGCCGCCGCAGTCCCCCAGAGCCTGAAGAGCCCCCAGGAAAAACAGGGTGAGGGGAGGGTGGGCCGGCAAACGGCGGGGGTAGAGGGGAAGACACTCACCCGCCCAGACAACAACCGACGGGGCGGGGAGGATGGGGGCCGGGACCAAGGCTCGGCAGAAAGACCGCCTGAAGCTTCCGGAACGCTGCGGCTGCTCGGGACGCCGCGGCTGCTCGGGACGCCGCGGCCGCTGCTGCTCCTGGCCGCTGGCTTCCTCCCCTCCTCTGTTTTGATTCGATTGACCACGTCACTCTAAGCCACGAGACCCGGATCTGCCGGCTCCCGCGGGCGGCCGCGCAACAGATTGCAGCGACTCAAGATCCCAGCCGCCCGCCTGCAGAGCATGCGCGCGCTCCGCGCCTGCCCAGTGCGTCGGAGGAGGCGGGGCGGGCGCGAGCGACACGCTATTCGTGGGGGCGCAGAGCTCTGGGGTTGCAGTTCCGGTTGGGAGGGGTGGGGCCGAGCGCTGTGAAGTGAAGAGGGCGAGGCCGGGTGTTTGTTGAACTGGCCCGCGTAACCTCTGTTTCGTCTTTGGTAAACAATGTCCTTTGCTGTGCGTCTCCTTTTGCCTGATTTGGTGGCTTCCTCTGACCTGAGTCCTTAGAATATCGAGGGAAGAAGTAGAGGTGGGCGCAAGTTCGTGTCTGCTGAGAAACAGTACCCCTGTAGAGTTGTGGGGTTTTTTGTGTGTGTTTGGTTTGTTTTGGGGTTGTTGGGGGGTTTTTTTGCTCACTTAGGCCCGGGTGAAAATTGGAGATGAGAATTTAGTCCGATGCACAAAAGTATGTCAAATGTAGCAGTTATTGAACCACTTTACCCTCCCTAACGTTTTTGCACCCGGAAAGCTGTCTAAAATTAAGCTCAAGAGAAATATTAAAGGGAATCGGTCACCAACCATGGCTTGCTGGTCCGGAGATAGTGAAGAATGGGCAGGGGGGAAGCTTTGTTGAGCGGCACCCCTAAGCCTTTGTTGCTGTAATAAGGATACTATTTGGGAACTAAGAACCTCACTTCTTTTGGACCTAGTTTGGTGCTTCCTACGCTCCCGTTCTGACATTCTTAGTTTCCCAGCTAAACCTTTGGAGCCCTGGAAATTTCCCAATTTGGCAAAACTTAGGGCTACTCTTTTTTTTGTTTGTTTTTTTACGAGAGAGAGAGAGAGAGAGCGAGAGCACAGAGGAAGAGGGAAAAGCAGGCTCCCTGCTGATGCGGGGATCGATTCCTGGACCCTGAGATCATGACCCGAGCCCAAGGCAGACGCTTCACGGCTGAGCCACCCAGGCGCCCCAGGGCTACTCTGTTTTAGGTCCATGAATTAACAAACTTTAATTAGAACAGGGCCAGTGGCAAAATAAAAGTGTAAGTTCCAAACAAAGATTTCACAAAGGCATATCCTCTGCCTATCTTGCAGAAGAGGTGAAAGTTAGCTGTAAAAAAAGTCTTCCTTACTCTGACTTGGATGACCTTTTCACCTTTCTGAATTACTACCCAGCCACTTAGTAAATCCTCTCACCTGAGTCACCTTCAGCAAATTAGTAATATAATCTACAAGATCTTTTTAATGTACGTGGAATGTTGCACAAAGATAAAGATTTCTAGAAAATTAAAGGTTTCTGGTAAAACTCAAAGTGTTTCCTTGTTAACAGATTATAAGTAAATAGAAGTCAAACTTCTTGGCTGTTCATCTGCCATCTTGAACTCTATTTACTCAAATTTAGAGAACTTGAGGTGGAATCTAATGCCCTAATGAAGTTCATGTGCTGACACTATAGCAGAGGGTTTTTAATTTGTGGAACTTTAATTGTGGAACATCTTACATGCTTGGGTGCACTCACGTGCACAGATGTGTTTGAGAACACTTTAAAACAGTAATGTCACAAAACTAGAATTGTATGGGTTGTGGCAAAATTATCGATACTTGCTTTATAAAGTATATTACAGGAAAATTAAGATGTTAGGATCCTTGGTAGGCAGCTGCCAAGGTAACCTCCAATGATTCTCACCTCTGGAAATGTAGTCCCCTCCAGCCTTTTGAATCAAGTCTAGTCCCATCCATAGAATACAGCTGAAGGTGTGTGACTTCTGAGACTAGGTCATAAAGGCACTGATTGCAGCTTTCCACCTCATTCTTTTGGATTGCTTGCATTGGGGAAGTTAGTGTACACACCACTCCACTCGAGCAGCTCTTTAAGGGGACCATGTGGAGAGGAATAAGAGCCTCCACTAACGGCTGCACCACCTTGCTAGCCATGTGAGTGAACTACTTTGGGCTGATCTTGTAACCCCAGCCAAGCATTAGATGACTGCATTCCTGCCCAGCATCTATTTGCAGTCTCATGAGAGAAAGGGCCAGCTTTATACCCACAGACAGTGATATGGGATCTTACATGGTTTATGCCCAATCGTAAAGTTCAACCTTTCTAACCTTTAAACAATAGAAAAACAAAAAGTGTGTGTATGATTCTATACGTAATTTGAAGAATAACAGAATTCCTACCGTAGTACCTGGAACATAGTAGATACTGAATAAATACTTTTTAAATTATTTTTTATGTATTTGGGGGAGGGCAGCAAAAGCAAGTTTTATTGAGTGATAGTAAAGTTTATTGAGAGTATGAAGCTCCCAAAGAGGGAGGGGACCCAAGAGGGTTGCCCAATAAATACTTTTTTAAAGATTTATCCATTTTAGAGAGAGAGTGGGTACAACTGCACTGGTCGGGAGGGGCAGAGGGAGAAAATCTTCAAGCAGACTCCCTGCTGAGTTCAATGCCCAAGGGAGGGCTCAATCCCATGACCCATGAGATCATGACCTGAGCAAAAACCAAGAGTCGGATGGATGCTCAACCAATTGAGCCACCCAGACGCCCCTGAATAAATATTTGCTGAATGGACACATAAAATTAAAGACACACCATTTAGAAAATACTGGGAATAAATATTGATAAAGAAGTAACACCATAATATATGAAGGACTCATACTCATCAGTAAAGAAGATATTAATGCCTCTAATACTTGTGTAGGTATAGAGTAGGAACTGAAGGTTTACACACAAAAAGGAGATACAAATAACTAATATTTGAAAATCGTCAATGTTGGGTGCATGGGTGGCTCAGTTGGTTAAGTGTCTGCCTTTGGCTCAGGTCATGATCCCAGAGTCCTGGGATCAAGCCCCGCATCAGGTTCCTTGTTAGGTGGGGAGCCTTCTTCTCCCTCTGCCTGCCGCTCCCCTTGCTTGTGCTCTCTCTCTTTATCTGTCAAATAAATAAAATCTTAAAAAAATAGAAATCTTCAATCTCATCAAAATGTAAATTAAGGGCGCCTGGGCGGCTCAGTTGGTTGGGCGACTGCCTTCGGCTCAGGTCATGATCCTGGAGTCCCAGGATCAAGTCCCGCATTGGGCTCCCTGCTCAGCGGGAAGTCTGCTTCTCCCTCTGACCTTCCCCCCCTCTCATGTGCTCTCTCTCTCTCATTCTCTCTCTCAAATAAATAAATAAAATCTTTAAAAAAATGCAAATTAAGGGGTGCCTGGGTGGCTCAGTCAGTTAAGCATCCAACTCTTAATCTCAGCTCAGGTCTTGATCTCAGGGTCCTGAGTTCAAACCCTGCATTGGGCTCCATGCTGGGTGTGGACCCTACTTTAAATAAATAAATAAATACAGAAATACAGAAATAAATGCAAATTAAAGTAAACTTTCCTTTTAAAATTATTACTTTATGGAGATGTTAAAGATTTTTTATTTTAAAGTAATCTCTACACCCAACATAGGGCTCAAACTCACAACCCTGAGATCAAGAGTTTCATGCTCCACTGACCAACCCAGCCAGATGCTCCTGGAGATATTTTTAAATAGGAGTATTTAATATTGGTACTGTTAGCTCTACTGGTAGAAATTTTAAGTTGGCAGTCAGCTTTTTGGAAATCAATTTGGCAATATATATGAAGTTCTATAAAAATCTCATCTATTAGCTCAATTTCACTTTTAGGAACTTAAGTAATTTAAAAGTTAATAACATTATAAAGATATTAATTGCATTTATATGATGGAATAAAAACATGGAAATAACCTATGTGAACAATGGTAATGGAATAGATAACTTTGTTGCATTGTATGTTAGGATCTAAGAAACTTGAGTATAGAAGTAATTTAAAATAGATTTTAAGAAAGTTAATCACATTTTATATGATGGAGAAAATATCTAGAAATAATCTAAACATGTAATGGAATGGATGAATATGTTAAATTATGTGTTAGGGACTAACAAACTTGAAAGTTTCTCCCCTTTCTGAACCAACCCTACTTTGATTCTTGATCTAGAAGAAGAAAGTGTTCGTAAGTAATATATGCTTTATATATTCATAAAAGCATTCTGGAAGATATTCCTAAAACTACTGACATTGGTTACTGGGGGGAGGGGGTGCAGGTGGAGTGAAGTAAGTGGTGAGAGACTTCTTTATGACTTTTTTTTTTTAAGATTTTATTTATTTATTTGACAGAGAGACACACAGCGAGAGAGGGAACACAAACAGGGGGAGTGGGAGAGGGAGAAGCAGGCTTCCCGTGGAGCAGGGACCCCGATGCGGGGCTCGATCCCAGGACGCTAGGATCATGACCTGAGCCGAAGGCAGCCGCTTAACGACTGAGCCACCCAGGCGCCCCTTCTTTATGACTTTTTACCCTTTTGTATGGTTTGAATTTTTACATATCCAATACATTAGTTTTGCAATGAAAATAATATTTTTTTTTACCTTTTTTTGTGTTTGTATTAGGCTGCCTGTCTGTATACAGGCTACCATAACAGAATACCACAGACTGGATGGCTCAAACAACAGAAATTTATTTTCTCAAACTTCTGGTGGTACAAAATCCAAGATCAAGGTGCCCACAGGGTTGGTTTCTGGTGAGATCTCTCTTCCTGGCTTACAAATGGCCACCATCTGGCTGTGTCCTCACATGGCCTTTCTTCTGTGCGCAGGCCCTCCTAATGTCTCTTCTTATAAGGATGCCAATGCTCTTGAATTAGGGCTTACCCTTATGAACTCATTTAACTTTAATTACTTCCTTATAGGCCCTATCTCCAAATATAGTCACATTGGGTGTTGGGGCTTCAATATATGAATCTGAGGAGACATAATTTAATCCATAGGAGTGGTTATATATATATATAACATGAAATTTACCATTCTAACCATTTTTGAGAATACAGTTCTATGGCATTAAATATATTCATGTTGTGTAAAAATCACCAACATCTATTTCAGGAACTTTTTCATCTTTCCAATTAAAACTCTGTGCCTGTTAAACACTAATTTCCCATTCCCCCTTCTCCCCAGTCCCTGGCAACCACTATTCTACTTTATGTCTCTGTAAATTTGACTACTCTTGGAACTTCATATAAATAAATCACAGAAAGGTGCTTGGCTGGCTCAGTCAGAAGAACATGTGACTTTTGATCTTGGGGTTGTGAGTTCGATCCACCTTTTCAGGTGTAGAGATTACTTAAATAAATAAGACTTAAAAAAATAAATGAATCATACAATATTTGTCCTCTTGTGACTGACTTATTTCACTTAGCACAATTTATTTTTTTTAAAGATTTAATTTTTTGAGAGAGAGGGAGGGGGAGGGAGAAAGGAAGAGAGAGGGCGCCTGGGTGGCTCAGTTGGTTAAGCGACTGCCTTCGGCTCAGGTCATGATCCTGGAGTCCCGGGATCGAGTCCCACATCGGGCTCCCTGCTCAGCAGGGGGTCTGCTTCTCCCTCTGACCCTCTTCCCTCTCGTGCTCTCTGTCTCTCATTCTCTCTCTCACAAATAAATAAATAAAATCTTAAAAAAAAAAAAAGAAAGGAAGAGAGAGTCTTAAGCAGACTCCACAGGACATGGGGCTCAATCTCACAACCCTGAGATCATGACCTGAGCCAAAACCAAGAGTCAGATGCTTAAACTGATTTCACCACCCAGGCACCCCTCACTGAGCATAATTTAAAGTCATCCATGTAGCTTATAGCAGAATAGCCTTCCTTTTCAAGGCTGAATAATCTTCCATTGCATGTATACACTACATTTTGTTTATTTGTTCATCTATTGATAAAAACTTGGGTTGCTTCCACCTTTTGGCTTATTGTAAAACTTCTGTGAATATGGGGGAGTACAAATATCTATTCAAGTCAGTGCTTTTAATTCTTTTAAACATATACCCAGAAGTGAAATTGCTGGATCTTATGGTTATTCTATGTTTAATTTTTTGAGGAACCATCATACTGTTTTCCACAGTAGCTGCACTATTTTACATTCCTACCAGCAGTGCATGAGGGTTCCAGTTCCTCCACATCCTCACCGATACTTGTTACTTCCTCTTTTTATTTATATTATTCATCCTAATGGGTATGAGGTGGTATATCATTATAGCTTTGATTTGCATTGTCCTGATAATTAGTGATGAAAATCTTTACACGTGCTTATTGGCAATTTGTATGTATCTTCTTTAGAAAACTGTTCAAGTACTTTGCCCATTTTTTAATTGGGTGGCTCGTTTTTTTGTTGTTGAGTTGTAGAAGTTCTCTATATATTGTGGATATTAATCCCTTATCAGATATATAATTTGCAAACATTTTCTTTCATTGCATGGGTTGCCTTTTCACTCTGTTGACAGTGTCCTTTGCACAAAAGTTTTAAATTTTGGGGCGCCTGGGTGGCTCAGTCATTAAGCGTCTGCCTTCAGCTCAGGTCGTGGTCCCAGGGTCCTGGGATCAAGCCCCACATTGGGCTCCCTGCTCAATAGGAAGCCTGTTTCTCCTTCTCCCACTCCCCCTGCTTATATTCCCTCTCTTGCTGTGGCTCTCTCTGTCAAATAAATAAATAAAATCTTTTAAAAAAATTTTTTTTAAAGTTTTAAATTTTGATAAAGTTCAGTTTATCTATTTTTTTTTCTTTTATTGCTTATGGTTTTGGTGTCATATCCAAGAAATCATTACCAAGTCCAATGAAGCTTTTCCTCTGTTTTCTTTTTTTTTTTAGATTTTATTTATTTGAGAGAGAGAGAGTGCACACACAGAGGCACAGGGAGAAGCAGACTCCCTGCTGAGCAGGGAGCCTGATGAGGGGCTCAATCCCAAGACCCTAAGACCATGACTGGACCCAAAGGCAGACACTTAACCAACTGAGCCACCCGGGCGCCCCCATCTGTTTTCTTCTAAGAGTTTTATAGTATTAGCTATTAAGTTTAAATCTTTGATCAATTTTCAGATGATTTTTTTAATATATAGTGTAAGGTAAGGGTCTAACTTCATTCCTTTGCATTTGGATATTCATTTTTCTGAGACCATTTGTTGAATGGTCTCAGAAATGTGTGACTTGAACACACAACTCTGAGATCAAGAAGTTGATCTTTTTCCCTATTGAATAATCTTGATGCTCTTGTCAAAAATCATCTGACCATATATGTGAGTGTTTACTTCTGGGTTCTCTATTCTATCATATTTGTTTGTGTGTGTGTGTGTGTGTGTGTCCATTTTTATGTCAGTACCACAATGTTTTTATTATGATTACTGTGGCTCTATAGTAAGTTTTGAAATCCAGAAATGAGAGACCTCCAACTTTTTTCTTCTTATTTTAAGATTGTTTTGACGATTCAGGGTCCTTTGAGAGTCCATATGAATTTTAGGAATGATGTTTCTATTTCTGCAAAAAATGTCATTGGGATTTTGATAGGGAGTGTGTTGATCTGTAGATCACTTTTGGTAGTATGGATGTCAAAATAATATAAAGTCTTCCAATCCATGAACACAGAATGTATGTCTTCATTTATTTGTATCTTTAAATTGTTTCAGCAATGTTTTCTAGTTTTCCGTGTAGTAGTTTTTCCCTTCCTTGGTTAAGTTTATTCCTAAACATTTTGTTCTTTTTGATGCAATTATAAATTGAATTGTTTTCTTAATTTTTCTTTTGGATTATTCATTGTATATAAAAATTCAACTGATTTCTGAGTGTTGATTTTGTATCCTGCAACTTTGCTGAATTTGTTTATTAGTTCTAACAGTTTTTTTGTGGAATCTTTAGGGTTTTCTACATATAAGATCATATCATCTGCAAACAGAGATAATTTTACTTCCTTTCCAATTTGGATGTCTTTTATTTATTTTTCTTGCCTAATGGCTCTAGCTAGGACTTCCAGTACAATGTTGAATAGAAGTCATCAGTGAATGAATCATGACTACCATACAACATATGGAAAAATGCTTATGGACCTATTGTTAAGGGGAAAAATGACACAACATGCACACGATAATTACATCTGGGTAAAGAATATTACACAGGTGAGTAAACACTTAAAAAAAGAATATTAAAAGTGTTAGGAAGTGAGATAATTCCTGATTTTACCATGTTTGAAAAAAAATTTTTTAAAGATTTTACTTATTTATTTGACAGAGAGAGAGAGAGAGAGAGAGAGAGAGAGAGAACACAAGCAGGGGAGTGAGAAAGGGAGAAGCAGGGCTCAATCCCAGGACCCAGGGATCATGACCTGAGCCAAAGGCAGACACCTAACGACTGAGCCACCCAGGCACCCCTGAAAAATTTTAAGATTTTATTTATTTTTTTAGAGAGAGTGTGTGTGTACACAAGTGAGGGGAGGGGCAGAGGGAGAGGGAGAAAGAGAGTCTCAAGCAGACTCCATGCTGAGTGCAGAGCCCAACACAGGCTCAATCCCAGGTCCCTGAGATTATGATCTGAGCCGAAATCAACAGTCAGATGCTCAACCAACTGAGCCACCCAGGCACCCTTCATGTTTGAAATTTTAAAAATATTTCAGCAGCTGAACTATAGTCTGAAATGAGCACATTAAGAATTACTGTGTTTTTTAATATTACTATTCTAAGGATATTGGGCTTTGTTCTTAAAACTAATCCATTCATTCCAAACAGTAGTTGAGATTGATGTTTTATCTCAAACCTGAAGGGTTTGCACCTATTAAAACATGTTACAAACTGTTAAAATGCCTGAGATAACTTGACGTTCAGAGAGGTCTATGTTTTTATGTTTTATCTTTTTAATAAAGTTCTCTACTCTTGGGTGTCTGGGTGGCTTAGTTGGTTAAGTGTCTGCCTTTGGCTCAGGTCATGATCCCGGGGTCCTGGGATTAAGTTCCACATAGGCTCCCCACTTGGTGGGGAGTCTGCTTCTCCCTCTCCCTCTGCCCCTTCCCCCTGCTTGTGCTCTCTCGCTCGCTCTCTCCCTCTCTCTCAAATATATAAATAAAATTTTTAAAAAAAAATCTCTACTCTTTATCATATTTACTTCCAAGTTTCATGAGTAGAAATTTGAATAAGAAAGACATTTCTTTGGGTTAGGAAAATGAAAAGCAAATTATTTGTCTGTTGACATTGGGGATAATGTTTATTAAGTGTGAGAAGCAGTGTGATAGCTTCAGTTTGGTTGCTGTTTGCCTTTCCACATTTCTTCCTTTTAGAAGATATTACTTACGTGCGCATGGCTGGCTCAGTGGGTAAAGCATGCAACTTCTTGATCTCAGAGTTGTGTGTTCAAGTCACACGTTGTTTGTAGAGATCACTTAAAAATAAAATCTTAGAAAAAATAGAAGCTATTATTTCATTCTCTGGAACACGTTAAACACACACACACAAATAAAACTAGGGTTTATTGAGTTCTAACAGTTATTAAGCTATGTCTGTTTTTATTCCCCAATATCTAACTCCTCACCAAAGTATTTCAGTCTCTTTAAAGTTTAAAAGATATCATCTTCTTTGAAAAGGAGCAAGATGGCAGAGGAATAGGAGACCTGGATTTCGTCTGGTCCCAGGAATTCAGCTGGATAGGGATCAAACCATTCTAAACACCTACGAACTCAACAGGAGAATGAAGAAAAGAATAGCAACAACTCTCTGAACAGAAAAGCGACCACTTTCTGGAGGTCACTCACTCACTGTGACTATGGACAAGTTGTTTGAACTCCGAGGGCCTCAATTTCCTCATCTGCAAAATGGAGATGAAGATACTACATTTGTCCTAAGTACCAAATATGAAGCCAATCCGACATAAATTCCTTTACCTTGCAGATTGAGCAACAATCTCTCATTATGATATACTCCCATAAATCACACAGGATTGCATGGTAGGAACAGCAGAGCTCTCTGCCTTTAATTCTGTTTCTGTGTGTTCGTGTGAGTGTGCGCTCCCACACGCAAACAACGAAAAGAGAGAAAAAGAAATGGGGCTGCCGTCTACCTTCTAAAGTCCTTTTAACTAAAAGTGACTAGTGTTAAAAAAAAAAAAAAAGATCATCTTCGGAGCACCTGGGTGGCTTAGTCAGTTAAGCAGCTACCTTCAGCCCAGGTCATGATCCCTGGGTCCTGTTTCTCCCTCTCCCCCACTTGTGCATGCACTCTCTCTCTCTCTCTCAAATAAATAAATAAAATCTCTAAAAAATTTTGGAAATAAAAGATATCATCTTCTGCTATCAGAATATTCTTTCTCCTAATGTGATATGTAGAATTGTAAATCTTGAAGGGACCCCAAAGCATTACAGGAGGATTTTAAGTACTCATTTCCTGGCTATTATATTACCTCTTTATCTGACTAAATCCACAGACTTCTAGCTTCAGCCACATTCTAAAATGCCACCTATTTAACTTTCCCTTGCTACTGGAAATCAACTTTAAATTGTTAAAAAGAATCTAAATGCCAAATTAATGGGAGATTAAAATAGATGAAAGGATATTCTTTCCTGAACTAGGCTTTAATCTAGGATCAACTATGACTAGAAATCCTTTGGCTCTGGGAAGGAGGCTGCGGACCTGGAGGAGGAAAGACAATTAGAAACTAAACTGGGAAATCAGGGATACTCTGGAATGTTCATAGATTCAATCCCATAGGCAACAACCCACACATTTAATTAAATGGTACAATTTATATTAAAATGCTCTGTAAACAATAATGAACTAGACTATTAAAAAACCAACTAATTCAGGGCGCCTGGGTGGCTCAGTTGGTTAAGCAACTGCCTTCGGCTCAGGTCATGATCCTGGAGTCCCGGGATCGAGTCCCGCATCGGGCTCCCTGCTCAGCAGGGAGTCTGCTTCTCCCTCTGACCCTCTTCCCTCTTGTGCTCTCTATCTCTCATTCTCTCTCTCTCAAATAAATAAATAGAATCTTTAAAAAAAAACCAACCAATTCTGAATGATTTGTAATATTAGTCTTATACACATATTAGCAAGTCTCTACCACACATGATGCACTTACAGTTCTAATTATACGAAACGGTTTGAAAGGAGTCCAGCTCTAATCATTGTATCAGGGATTGTTTCATTTTAAGTGAAAAGGGGTCCTGTTTTTGAGCCCACAGCTAAGAATACATGATACTAAAGACTACCCTCCCCTGGGAACCTGGCTGGCTCAGTCAGTGGATAGTGGGACTCTTGATCGCAAGGTCGTGAGTTCAAACCCCACACTGGGTGTAGAGATTACTTTATAAAAAAATTTAAAAAAAAAAGACCTACCCTCCCCTAACCCATTCTGTGTTTGAAGAAACATCAGCTTTTGGAGTCTATCCCTTCCTCATTGGGTCTAGTGAGAGGTACCAGTTAAGAAAACACAAACCCCTACCATTATCCCCTCCCTCCTATAAGGGAAGACAGGAACAATGAAAGTTGCATTTTAGAGGGAATACAGTGTTCTAAAGAGAGGGCATTCTCTTTCCTTACATTGTGAGGGAGAGTAGAGAATGTCCCCCTTCCCTAAGACCAGGAAGGGAGTTACCAAAAGAGTCGTTCATAAAGTAGAGGTCCTTGAACCCTCTGAACCATTACCTGCCTCAGTAAGTTGAGAATCCATGATTGCCTCTGGTCTAAAAATTGCTGAGCCATTCTCCTGGTGCTGCTAGGGAATAGAAAAAAAGAGACATGAGAGGGGTGCCCGGCTGGCTCAGTCAGTAGGCTCAGTCAGTAGGCACTTGATCTTAGGGTCATGAGTTCAAGCCCCACATAGGGCAGAGAGCTTACTTAAATAAATACATAAATAAAACTTAAAATATTTTTTAAAAAGACATGAGAAAGTGGGTAAAGCTGAGAGAGGGGGTGTCAGCTGAGTAGGGGGCAGTCTGCATACCTACTGTTTGGAATGGCAAGTTTCCCAAGACTCAAGTTGTGCTACATGGAATAGCAAGGCCCTAGAACTGCCCCATTACCACACAAGCACAAATGCACGTGCAATGCATACCCGTACCAGCTATGTATTATCTCCAGCTCAAATGGGCAAAAAAACCTCCAACTCCAAATTCTGAGAGAAAAACCAATTCGCCCAGCTTAGTGCACTCATGGTCCAACTAGCTAGGGACTGAAGAGCAATACTATGTGTGCGCAAACTCTTAGAGAAGGAGGCATTGGCAAGCTCATTTAAAGTGGATGGAAAGTGAATGAGAGACATTACAGCACAGTTTATCTGCAACCAATATTTTGATGATAACAATTTGGGAAACTGGCCCATTGTAAGATAAGATATGTTCCATTTCCTAAGTCTTCCATTTTGAGGTAATATTAAATAATTGCACTATAATATCAAATAAGGTTTATTTTTTTAAATGTCTATTTTTTTTAAAAGATTTTATTTATTTTTTGTCAGAGAGCGAGAGAGGGAACACAAGCAGGGGGAGTGCGAGAGGGAGAAGCAGGCTTCCCGCTGAGCAGGGAGCCCGAAGTGGGGCTCAATCCCAGGACCCTGGGATCATGACCTGAGCTGAAGGCAGACGCTTAATGACTGAGCCACCCAGGCACCCCTCAAATAATGTTTAATGTAAAATTAATTGCCATTATTACATGACTATAGTTGGCAAAAGTGGTTACATATTTTATCTTTCCGATAAATTATTTATGGAAGACACCCACCCCCCCAAAAAAAAACAAACCTCAAGAACAAAAAGAGAAAGTACTCATTTGGAATAACTGTCATTTTAGTTCATCATTATGTTCCCGACTTCCAGGCAAAATGTTTTTTGGACTGTAAGAAGGTACACGTATACAAGTAGTCATCATTATCAGCAACAATAGCAAACATCTATAAAGCACTTATAGAAGGTCAAGTCTTTCTGCTGCTGCGGTCATGGTTAAGTTCAAATAAACTGAGTGCCTTCTAAAAGGAAATGATTGTGTGGAGTGCTGGTGCTGGAACAAATGGGAATCCGTATTAAAAATCTTAAGTATGGGGGTAAATGGGTAGCTCAGTCGGTTGAGCGTACGACTCGATTTCGGCTCGGGATCCTGAGTCAAGCCCTAGGTCAGGATCTGTGCTGGGTGTGGAGCTGCTTCGGATTCTTTCTTTACCTCTCCCTCTGCCCCTCCCCCATCCCCCTTCCCACACAAAAAAGACTACTACTCAGTAATAAACGGGCATGGATTGTTGATGTACACAACATAGATAAATCTCAAATGTATTATGCTGAGTGAAAGAACCCCATATCAAAGGATAGGTACTGTAGTATTTCATCTATGACATTCTGATAAAAGTAAAAATATAGGGAGGTGCCTGGGTGGCTCAGTTGGTTGAGTGTCGGACTCCAGCTCAGGACATGATCTCAGGATCCTGGGGTCAGCTCTGTGTTGGCCGGCGATCAGCGGGGAGTCTGCTTCTCCCTCCCCCTCTGCCCCTCCCCCACTCATGCTCACGCTCTCTCTCAAATAAATAAAATCTTTTAAAAAGGTAAAACTAGGGGTGCCTGGGTGGCTCAGTCGGTTAAGTGTCTGCCTTTGGCTCAGGTCATAATCTCAGGATCCTGGGATCAAGCCCCACGTCCGGCTCCCTGCTTGTTGGGAAGCCTGCTTCTCCCTCTCCCACTCCCCCTGCGTGTGTTCCCTCTCTCACTGTGTCTTTCTCTGCCAAATAAATAAATAAAATCTTTAAAAATAAATAAATAAATAAAGTAAAACTATAGGAACAAATATAATGCATACAGATCAGTGGTTGCCAAGATTAGGAGTGGAAAAGGGCCATAGGGACAGCAGGAGGGAATTATTTCAGGTGTTGAATTGTTTTGTAGCCTGTCTGTGGTGGTGGTTACAAGAATCTACACATGCAAAAAAAAATCTATACGTGTATAAAATATCATAGATATGTACATTACACTGAAAACATAAATTGTTATGTATTTATTTGCCAGAAAAAATAATTATCTACATAAAGAGCTTCCTTGATGCTTTAAAAAACATTACCTTGTATTAACATATGTATAATCATAAGTATTAACATATGTATACATCCATGAAGCTAGAACCACAACCACAACCAAGAAAACTAATTTATTTATCACACCCACGTGTGCTTTTGTAATCCCTCCTTCCTCCTCATTCTAGCCCCTCTTCCCCAAGCAATCACTTCCTAGATTATTTTGCATTTTATAGACTTTTATATAAATGTATTCACACAACATGTACTCCTTTTTTGTTTAACTTCTTTCACTCAACATGCTTATTTTGAGATTTATCCCTGTTGTTTCATGTATCAATAGTTCATTCTTTTTTATTGCTGTGTAACATTCCATTGTAGGGTATACCATAATTTGTTTATCCATGAACTTCTCTGGGTTTTCAGTTTGAGCTATTAAAAATAAAGCTACTAGGAACATTTATGCTTTCATGTTTCTTATATAAATACCCAGGAGTGGAATGGTTGTGTAATATGGAAGGCACATATTTAACTTTTAAGAAACTGCCACACTGCCAAAGTACCATTTTACATTCCCATCAGCAACGTGTAAGAGTTAATTCCTTCTTATCCTTACCAATAATTGGTATGGTCAGT